AATGAGGACAGTAGAGATAATAAATTCAGTAGGTATCCTGGAAGCTTTGAGCAATGGGAGAATTTAAAATTCATCTGCTTTCAGTGGGAGCAAGTCTAGTACCATCTAGCACCATCTCTCAACCCCAATCTGGTGTTAAGTGGCTTGTAGCTTTGAGGTCCAGGGGTCTAATGAGCTGAAAGTGGGTGTCAGGTTGCTCTGCATTGCTCAGTTAATGACAACTAAGTGGGTGGCTGTAAGAAAAGAGTATGTTGTGAAACCAGACTTAGTTGGTAGCATGTTCCCTGCAGAATTTGGGACAGTATAAACTGCCAGTGTTTATTTTGCCTCTAAAGTGATAATAGATATTTACATCAGAGATAGGTTGGAATGACTAAGGCTCTCTAAGGTATTCATGACCATGATAATTTTGATCATAACATACTTCACTAAAGTATCAATCTTTGTTCAATAAAATTGCCATAGAATAAAGCAATAAACTAAAATCTAGTTGAAAGTGGCTTCATTTTTTTCTTAAGGACAAAGATTGTACAGAGCTTATAAATACTGTGAATGTTTAACATTGAAGTCCACCATGTCTTTGGCAAAGCTAAGAACCATGTTGTGTTCCTCATTAGTCTGCATTAATCAAGGAGGGCAGCTGTGACTGGCTGTCACCACACTCCTTTGTGGCTGTGTGTGCTGTGTGTTTTGAGATCGGAGCTCGTAATTTTTCCCCCTTATCTTTCTGTTTAGTTTCAGAAACCACTAATGATTCAACAATAATAGATGATGTGGTTGAAAATCATGTTGTAGACCAACTTTCATCAGACATTGCACCAAATGCTATGGGTGCTGAATTTTCAACATCTTCTCCAGCCAGTTTATTGGAACGGCCGACCAATCACACAGAGGCCCTTGGTCATGACCACTTAGGAACAAATGACCTTCATGTTAGTGGATTTTTAGAAAATCATGAGGAGCCAAGAGGTAAAGAACAATGTGTTGAAGAGAGTATGCCAGCAGCGTCACTCAGCAAAGGCAAGAAATCGACGCACTGCCGAAGCCATGAAGAGGTCAACACTGAGTTGAAAGCACAAATAATGAAAGAGATCCGAAAGCCAGGAAGAAGTATGTATGGTCAGATGTGACCTCAGATTTGGTTTCTGTGTGTACTTGCCTTGCACCCACCCTTCTGGGCTCCAGGGATCCTTGTGTCTCAGCCTACCAAGTCGCTGAGATGATGGGGCGCCACCAGCACGCCTGGCTGAGACTGGGCCTTATTATGTTGCCCAGGCTGATCTCAGACGCCTGGCCTCAGCTTTCCAAAGCTGAGATTACAGGTGTGAGTCACCATGTCTGGCCAGCAAAGGAGTTTTAATACAACAGCTAACTCAAAAAGATACACTGAAAATTAAATGACTATGTCTGTAAAGTTCTTGTCATAGTGCCTGTCACTGTGATTAACATTTGAACTATGGTAATGACAAGGGATATGTTCAGGCCAAAAAACTAAAGTAATGAAAGCTACCTATTACGTGATACCATGTGAATACAAATGAACAATAAAAAAAAATTAGTAGTTCTTCTAGAAGATATCAACAGATCACCTGCTGTAATGGTAATACAATGACCTGGGTGGTCCAGAAGTGGGTAAGAGTCAGTCCTTGGCAAAGTTTTATGTGAGAACTTCTAGTCATTGTGAAGTTTTACATGAAAACTTTAAAATGAAATAGCACTATTAACCTATTTCACTTTTCTTTTTTCCCACCCTTTTCCCCTTCCATTTACTCATGTTATTGGTACTTTGGAATTTAAATTGTAAGGACGGGTTTTTATAAAGGCCACTTGCCTTTTACTTTTCAATAGTATTACCAAAAAGCTATTCATTCATCTTTCTAAGCTTTATATTTGATATTTTAATGGAAACTTTCACCAAAAAAGTAGTATTTAACAAGTTGTTTTATCTTTGTTGATATATATTTTCTTTTACACATACATGATAAAAGGTATTATAAATTCTCATTATAAAAATGAGTGGTAAAATTTTAACATAGAATGTTTTTGTCTCTATATGTTAAAATAAAATAGAAAATATTGAATAGGTACAAATGGAAGCCACTTAATTTTTCTTTTCACTGCTTTTGTTTTAAGAATATGAAAGGATCTTCACTTTACTGAAGCATGTGCAAGGCAGTTTACAAACAAGACTAATATTTTTACAGAATGTCATTAAAGAAGCATCAAGGTAAGTATTTTGCATGTTATGAAATGATGATGAAAGGAACTCCAGTTTAAATAGGCGGTATTTTAACAGTATCTGTTTTGTGCTTGTGTTGTTTATTCATGTGTATGACACACTCACGTATAAATAAGTACTTATTTTTAGTTTATTGGAAAAAGTTCACTTAGAAAAGTCACATACAAATTCTTCAGGAATTTAAGGACCTTTTCTTCCTGCAAATGACTATATATTTGCATAATACTTGTTTTATCTTCTCTGTACCTTTATGGTGACTTTAATATTTTATAGCTTACAATTTATCCTTTTATGTTAATATTAGTGGTAAGAAATAACCTAGAAAGGCATTATGTATATGTTGTTCAATTTACATGTAAAGACATAATTAAGACGATCAGAGTTGAAAAAATGGGCCTTAATCTGAGGACAGCCTTCTGGATTCAGCCAGTTGCAGATGGAAAGTATTTGAGAGAGAAAAATAGATGATTCTGTCTGTACTTAAACACACACATGCTTCTTTCCTTGTCATTCTCTAAACAATAGTGTGACAGTTATTTACACAGTGTGTACACTGTGCAGGTTTTATAAGTTCTACATATATAGGCTATATGCAAATACTGTGCCATTTTGTATGAGGGACTTAAGCATCCCTGGATTGCTCGAGGGATATCTGTTAGGGGGTCCTGGCACCAATCCCTCATGAATACTGAGGGATGGGTATATAACGGATCCAACGTGGCCTAGGTTATAAGTGAGAACCATAAAGTGCAATCAGCTGGAAAGCAGAGTTGTGTGAGTTTTAAAAACATTTTTTGTTTTTCCTTCAAGATTTTTAGAATTTTGGTATTATTTAGATTATAAAACTTAGGGTTTATCTCATTGTCCAAATGTAAACATACCTACCCTTTAAACAGTTCCCCTGTCCTTTCCATGCTACAAATAAAGGTTTTAGATAAAGCAGCTAATTTGGGGGGAGAGAGAATGGCTGGAGAATAGACTACTCTGAAGGATCACGACAAGGCCATAACTTTCCATGTAATTTTGAGTCTTTAACCGTTTCTGCTCTTTGTGGTAATGTTCTGTCAGCTCAGACCTCCTCATGTATTTAACTCTATTCCAGGT